TTTAGGGGTTGAGGGGGTTAGGGTTTAGGGGGTTAGGGGGTTAGGGGTTTAGGGTTTAGGGTTTGCAGGGTTCCCATGCTTCGTGTAGACTCCTCTGCCCTGCAGACGTAATTCCCCCAACATCCTAGAATCCAAACTTTTCAAACCGTAAACTTCTCAAACCCCAAGAACCCAACCGACATTCGAGTCCAAAACCCCTTATGCCTAAAATTGTGGTTTGAGTAAATAGGAGGACCCCAACATAGCCCCAAGTATACTTTCATCCTTCTGTAGTTTCCATGTTCTTCGCCATTCCCCATATATAATCGCTAAATTGACTATTTAAAGTTATAACCCTAAACAATTTTTATCCATAACCCCAAATGACATGCCGGAGGGCTTCGGCGGACCGCCTTGCGTCTTCTGCAGGCCCAGTTACATTGGTTTGGGGCTTACCATGTTTTAGGCTTGAGGGTAGGTCGTTCTTGGGTTTGGTATGACAATTTGCCTAGACCCCCCAAGTACCCTCTAAAGACCCTAGGCATCCCCCAATAGAAGCTGCATAGACCCTATTTTTAGGGTACTTGGGGGTCTAGGTGGTAAGCATGTGTTCAATGGGACTCCCAAAAACTTTGTGGCTTTGAAGTCTTTGCACTCGGCTCCTAGGGATTATTAGCTGGGATTCTCGTTCGGTCCCCCTTCTGCAGGGTCTATAGGGAGCAGGAGTAGGGTCTCAGCGAGTGTAGTCTTTTTTGGGGGGGTGCATGGCATGATTGTTATGAAGATTATCTGGAGTAATTATGCGTGTGGCTGGGGACCCAGTAGCTCTTTGTCTACCTACATACCTCCCCCTGTTCCTAGGATCTGGGATGAGTTGTCCAAATTCAGCAGCACAATTGCATGGGAGGTTCTCAAAGTTGCCAAGGCAGAATTCTCAGCAGGGAGCCAAATAATGGGAACTCCGGAAGGATCATGGGGATCCCTACTGAGGATTGAGAAGCTCCCACATACCATATAGTTCAGAAGGCACCGTACTTCATTTGTCTGCCCCTCAGGGTTGATCTGTGGTTGCCGAAGGTGAATATCAGAAAGCAACGACGAAATTTCCCGTCTTTGAGCCAATATGGTCTTTCCCGAAGTCTCGTGAGACGCCATGAGCCGTGCCTCTGTGTGGAGCATGGTGCACAAAATCAGCTGTAGTGCCGCAAAGAGCTTGAAAGCCAAGCCAATGTTGCAACTGTTTTCATGGCTGAGTGTTCGCGCATAGTAGCACTATAAGGGGGAAACCGTAGACATGGATGGCAGTTCTTAAGCTACCGCTTGCGTCCAGCCTTCTCGCCGGCATGCTTCGAATCTGGCAGATGTCAGGGCAGGAGCTGTGTGCAGTAAGCATAAAGGACATCCCGGATGTGTGGGATGTGAAAGCCGCACTGCGCAATCTTCATGGCTTTCCAATGTGCATGCAGCAGTTGCTGCACAATGGCCGCAGCTTGGACGATTTTGACCGGATGGTTGAAGCCATCGACCTACAAATAATCCTGTTAGACCCTTCCACCGTGTCGCAGTCTAAGTATTCTGACCTTTTGCACGCAGCTGGGAATGGGCACTTGGAGATGGCACGGCTGCTGTTGGAAGCTGGTGCTGACAAGGACCTGCAGAATGGCAACGGCTGCACGGCCCTCATGTTCGCAGCTTGGAATGGCCAGGTGGAGATGGCACAGCTGCTTCTGGAAGCTGGTGCTGACATGGACCTACAAGATGACGACGGCTACGCAGCCCTCATGCTCGCAGCTGTGAATGGCCACGTGGAGATGGCAGGGCTGCTTTTGAAAGCTGGTGCTGACATGGACGTACAAAACATACCGGACGGCCACACAGCCCTCATGCTCGCAGCTTGGAATGGCCAGGTGGAGGTGGCACGGCTGCTTTTGGAACTCTTTGCTGACACGAAGTGGCGTGACGACGAAGGCCACACGGCCCTCCTGCTTGCAGCCAAGAAAGGCCATGTGGAGATCGCACGGCTGCTCTTGGAAGCTGGTGCTGACAAGGACCTGCAGAATGGCAACGGCTGCACGGCCCTCATGCTCGCAGCTTGGAATGGCCAGGTGGAGATGGCACAGCTGCTTCTGGAAGCTGGTGCTGACGTGGACCTACAAGATGACGACGGCTACGCAGCCCTCATGCTCGCAGCTGTGAATGGCCACGTGGAGATGGCAGGGCTGCTTTTGGAAGCTGGTGCGAACAAGGACTTGCACGATCATTACAGCGTCACCACCACTGCCCTCATGCTCGCAGAGGAGAGGGGCCACAGCGAGGTTGCAACGTTGCTGTTGAGCAAAGGCTCGCAGGATGGTTGAGGCAACATGAGCGTGGTTCCGAGGGCATTGCCAGGACCGTGTGAGCGATCCAGCTCGTTTGTGAACGGTGCATTTGTCTCAAGCTGCTGGCGGGGACTTGAAAAGACATAGAGGTTACTTGTGGGTGGCAAGCTTTTTGACAACTTGAAGGACTAGTTTTGCTAGGGCCAGTGGCGCAAAGACTTCCGATAGCAATTCAACTTAAACCTTGGATGCCCATTCTCACCGTTGACCCCTTGACCCTTTGACGTCGTAAATTCTTATGCTTTTTGGTGCTTGTGAGGAAGGGCATTGAGATCCGTAACTTGAAGACCTCCAATCTAGAAATCTACTGACCTGCCAAAGCCTCCAGGCATTGCTGGCTGCTGATTTCGCAGATGCCGCACCAAAACTCTTCAAGGTTGGGGTTTGGCCTAGGGTTCTTCTAAAGGAATAACTGGGGATACATGATCCGGGCGCGGCCCGAATGGTTCTTTCAACTAGGAATATGAGAACAATTGAGACTTCCTCCCTCCCCCTGCTTTGGCGTGGTGTGGTTGTGTGCTTGGGACCCCCCATGGTATGGTGGCCATCTTCTAGGCTCTCAGTACTGATTAAGCTTTATGCCCCCCACCCCCCTGCGCTCCTGTGGTCTGTGGTTTGGGTCATGTGGCTGAGATTAAGGTTTATTTATGGGGGCTTTATCGAGTTTGTAGCAGGTTTATGACCTATTCCCTCACCCCTGAGGTTCTGTGGCCTGTGATGAGGGTCTTGCAGCTTACAATACGTTTGTGGAGGATTTACATATGGTCTATAGTGTTTGATACAGGCGTTATAACAGCTTGTACCAGATTTCAAAAAGGTTTACAGATGGTTATGGTTGTTAAAAGCTCATATGATGAGGACCACCCCCATCCCTGTCACAGTGAGTGCTTTTGAAACGTGCATACAGTATGGTCTCAAAAAGCGACGACCGACAGCTGTGAGGACCTCCTCGATCCCCGTGACTGTTGTTACGTTTGAGACGCGGCGAACGCATGAGGGGCTAAAAGTGACGACAGTCACGAGGATGGCGACCGCTCGGGGACCCATCCCTGGGACCGTTGACACTTTTGAAGCATACAATACCTGGCATGGGGAGGAGGGGTGGGCGAACCGAGAACCGGCATCAATCTAATATAAAGGTCGAAGGTGTACGGCACCTAGACCTCCCAGAAAACCCACACAAATTCGTGAGCACACTCATCATGCTTTGTGTTCTGGGCCATTATTGGATTGGGGAAGGCCACGAGGGCTTCGGCTTTGCGGATTTGGGCCCAGGGTTGATGGTTCAGGGTTATGGGCTGGAGGCGTTGGGGTCCTGGGCTTAAGGCCCAACATTTGTGTACTTGGGCAGCAGTACTTGTACAGGTTTGGGGGAAGTGTATGATTATTGGTACTCGGACCCGTCAGGGTAAGATTTTTGGGTCCGTTATGCTGTGTGTTTTGTATCCTTATACAGCTGAGTTATAGCTTTACGTGGCAAGCGGTCGTAGTCCTGAGCCTGCGGTGTAGGACTGGGTGCGGCAAGATTGTAGCAAGATGTTGTGGCATTGGTGCTTGCCATAAACCCTAAACCGCTACAGCCCCTAAGGCTAAACCACTAGGCCCTAAACCGGAAAACCCTTAAACCCCCCTAACCCTGAACTCCTAAACCCCAAGCTCCGATGAACCCATAGTCGCTAACCCTGAGTCTCCAAATGCCCAACGCAGTTAATCTTTCTAGCCTTCATGGGGCCTAATTAATGTAGGTGCTACTTATAGACCTAGAGCAACCCTTACGATCAAGCATGAAGCCTAGACCCTAAACCTTCAACCCTACACCTTAAACCTTAAACCCTGAACCTTAGACCTTAAACCCTGAAACTGAAACCTTAAACCCTGCCTAAACCCCCAAAGTATGTAAAATCATAGCCCTAAAACCTTAATAATAGCCATAAAGGCGATTGTTTCACACACTTTTGGTGTCCAGTGAAGGTCGGATTTTGGAGCCTGGCAGTTTCAGCCTCGACGCCTGAGGACAGCCCGGCCGTGCCCCGACTGCTGCAGTTGAGGGCCGGTTTTGGGTTTAGGGTGTAGGGCCAGTTTAAGGTTTAGTTTGGGTACTGCCCCCCCAGTAACAGTCTATATTAGGGGTCCTATTAAGGGCTATATATAACCGTATTATAATTATTATCCAACTGTTACTGAGGGGGGGCAGTACCCAAGGTTTAGGGTTTAGGGTTTAGGGCTAGTTTAGTGCTTAGCTCAAGGATAGTTAAACGGTGGTTGGTAAGCAGAATTAGAATATGCTTCCATGCCAGGCCAGGGACTTAAACAAATCAGTTATAGATATCCATGGAGCTTTAAGTAGGGTGTATGGCATTTGTCCAGTTGAATGGAGGAAGGCCCGACAGCAAATTCTCGGACCCGTAACGGATCTAAATCTAAAGCATGGAGCTTCCCAATAATCCCCTAGTTTCCTCAATGTAGGAATGGCGTCATCTTTTTGACTATCAGTGTGTTGGATGTCCTTCTTTCAGGAAATCGACCCTAGGTCCCAGAGTTAGGAAGAACATCTTTTTCCCAAAGCCTTACTTAGACCCCCAAAAACTACGTGTTTATTGTCAGAATAAACAATGCCGATAAAAGATCAAACAATGCCAGCTCTACATAGGCAACCCCTGCCAGAGGACCTCCGTGGGTACGGCAAATTTATACTAGGGGACCAGACCGGGATAGCAATGTTTACAACGCATCCAACCAAGCAGTTGGAAAGTAGGCACGCAGAACTTCGTACCGCTGACTTGAATGAAGCATGACCACTGTCTATTGCTGTGGCCAAGCCCCCCCCCAAAAAAAATCACCAAATTCACAAGTCTCCTTACAACTTGACCCAAGGGTCAAAGTACCATTGTTTTAGTGAATAATTGGGTTGGCCCCCAAGATGCCATATAGTGATTACTTTGAGCTTCAAAACGTGCATGATTTGGGTACTTGGAACCCCCACACCTCAGGCTGGGATACCCAGGGCCAAAGGGTACATGTAGGTATGTGGTATATACTTAGGGCCGAAAGTGGTTCCCATATAACTACTTTAGGGCCCAGGCATACACTATGTAGCTACATGGACTGTTTGGGAGGTGATCGAAACTGACGCGGATTGCAATCGCATGTTGGACGGTGTCACGCTCGCTGCTGACGTGATGATTCTGGTGAGACAAGGCATGGCTTCTAGAGTTGCATCCGAATCATAGTGAAACAGCAGTAGCAATAATAGTAATTTTAAACACCACCTCAATAATAACATTGGCAATAAAAATCGTCATGGTAGTAATAATACTAGTAATAATTCGCAAGTTTTTTGTCTCCAGCGCTAGAAACTGAGCCTAATACTTGGGTATGCTCAGGTAGGTCAGTTGCGTTCACTGATGTCCAATTTCAGCTATGGGCAGTAAGTGTTGCAAGTCAAGAAACATACTCCTACCAGGTCTCCTATGTGATCTCACTGTAACAGTTTTTGTTTAACCCCTCCTCCTTGCCTGATACTACATCCCTGTGAAGCTGTTCAGATGCTGGCACGCTGCATGAGCCATAAGGAGATGGGTAAGATCAGTATGAATGCCTGAAAACTAGCTGAATGCTGCTGTTCCTTGGAGATTCGCAAATTGATAAGCCTATACAACTCTCCAAAACCCTAAACTCTATAAGCCCCAAACCATAATTGCGCGGAACTTTGCATGTCTCGTCCTTAGCTGGGTAAATCTGGGCTGAGCGTGTTGAACCTTTCGGAGAGACATCTGAAAACTTCTCGAAGTGCGTACTAAACATGATTAGTAGGGCGTTTGTTGTGTTTCCATGGGTGGCATGGGATTGAAGGGTTTGGACGCAGTAGCGGTGCTGCTTGCCCAGGCTTTTTGGCAGGATTCACACGGCTTCATTTGAGATGCGTATAGATAGAACTACATATGGTTGATCCTCCTCGAACTTAGGAAATCTGACCCGTACGTTGGTGGAATTCACAGCAGGGCTCACAAGCGGAGCAGTAGGATGGGGTAGACAACCGAGTTCCTCATGACAAGTTATGTAGGGGTGCCGCATTGAAGTAATCAGCATGAAACAATCCCAAAGCCCAAACCACTTGGCAAGTTACCGTCAACCCTGGCAAATCTTTTCGGGACTTTAGTTGTTTGGGGGGAGGCCGGCGGGCTCTTTCAGAGCTTGTCGTCGGGGTAGCGCTCGCAGAAAACCTGTGTGTTTTTCCGGGACAGTAAAGGTGACTGCCCTGGTATATACACCTACTTGCAGTGGGCTTCTGCAGTTTGCGCTGAGAGGCTCGCAGACAGACCCGCAGCTGCTGCTCTGGCTTTCTGCTGCATCGCCGCTGCTGGACAACTGGCGTTGCGCCTTGCGAGGCACTGCGATCTGTCCTGTTAAGCCATCATCCTGGGAAGACAAGGTTTGGGGTTTAGGGGGCTTGTACAGTCGCGCGATTTCAGTTATTGTTCAGTCTTGTTGTTGTTGCTCGTCTGGTGGGCTCGGGGCGCCTCTTTTGCACAAAGCTTCATACATATATACATACTTATTCACGCGCACAAGCATGTATATACCAGTACTTTAGGTTAGCAAGGCAGGGCACCTTATCGAGCTCTAGTGGCTTTTGGGACTTGGTTTTGCAATTTCCCACTAGCAGTCTCGGCGCAGAGCAAGTTTCAAGATGGAGTTTTGCCTCTAATTGGAACCCATATTTTGCATAGGCCTGCATGTAGCTCCAAAGATGTCATAGCCAAGAAAGTTTGATAAAGGTGTCATGCACGTAGACGCCATGCTCCACTTGCTAGAAACATGTTGCAGTGACGCCAGCTTGTCGAACCTACGAGCTATAGACGCGTATTGCTCTTCAGTTAGGACTGTGACCTACAGTGTTTGGAGATGAGGCTCAGGGCATGGCACACTATCTGGTTGAGGCGGTAAACCCATCAAGGCAGGTATGAAGTTACAAT